CGCGCTCCTCTGAGTCAGCAGTCCCCAAGGGGGTCCGTGCCATGCAGTTCGCAGCTTTCCTGTGAACCAGCCTGGTGGTCTCAGCCTCACCTCTTCCTCCTTTGGAAGGTTGCAGGGAGTGTCCCTGTGCAGCTGCTGCTGAATGATAAATAATCGCCACCGTCGGAGACATTTTCTGGGTGTTCCAGATACTGCGAGATGTACACTGTATCACGTGACGCTGGCTGAGAAAATAGAGGCTCAGAGAAGTAAAGTGACTTTGTCAAGGTCACAAAGCCTCAGAACATAGAGCCGAGATGGAACTCAGGGCTTTCAGACCCAAGCTGGCTTCCTTCACTGCCCAGACTCACATGGGGTTTCTAACTAGGGATATGGGGCTCCAGGAACCCCTTGAAATTGCATGGAAAATGTAATGTGTTATTGCACTTTTCTGGAGAAAATTCCAAGGCTTTTAGTCAGGGGTATGATTTTTTTTTCTTGTAATATTCATGAAATGTTTAAAGAAATAATTCCTGCTTTCAGTAATATCAAAGGTGGGCTTTGGTGCCATCCTAAGAGGTTCGAAGTGTGCCTTAAACATTCCCAACCGGGCACAGTGGGAGGCCTAGCACTCTGGGAGGCTGAAGCGGGAGGATCGCTTGAGGTCAGGAGTTCGAGACCAGCCTGAACAAGAGCGAGACTCCGTCTCTACTAAAAATAGGAAAAATTAGTCAGGCACCATGGTGGCAGGCACCTGTAGTCCCAGCTACTTGGGAGGCTGAGGCAGGAGGATGGCTTGAGCCCAGGAGTCTGAGGTTGCGGTGAGCTTTAACCATGCCACTGCACTCCAGCCTGGGTGACAGAGCGAGACTCTGTCTCAAAAAAAAAAAAAAATTCCGAACTTTTCTCCCTGTGTTAGGCCACTTTGCTTTGACTATTGTTTTCACTATTAATCTGCTTTCCTGGAGGTGGGTGGAAATGTGCAGACCCCAAAGGCGGCAAACGCTCGCCCTTGGAGGACCAAATCCGGCCTCTCCCCTCCTTCACACGCGCTGTCATCAGCTGTCGGAGCAGCACTCGGGTCGGGCGAGTGGGCTTCCAACCCCCCGCTCGCTCCTTGGAACTCCCCGCAGCGCGAAGAGAAGGAAGGCAAGGCCGTGAGCAAAGGCTGCGTTTGGGAAGGAAACAGAGGGTCGGTTCTGCGTGGACGGTGCCTTCAGCAGGGCACGCGCTCTGCGCGCTAACCCGTGAAACGCACCTCTGTGGTCTCGGTCCTGGGTGGGAGGGCAGCGGAAGGAGCAGAATGGGGTGGGGGGAGAGAGGGGGGGAGATTTTGTTGTGGCCGGGTCTGGGGTTTTTTTTTTTGTTCTTTGTTTTTTTTGCGGCTCTCCAGCGGGGGCGGGTGTTGTATATACGGGGTGTTTTTTTTTTTTTTGTGCCTCTGTTTTTCGTGGGTGTGGCGGGGGGCGGCGGGCCCTGCGGGTCAGGGCAGCACGGCGGCGACGCAGCAGCGTGGCGCCCCGTCTCCTGGCAGAGCCGGCTGTGTCAGTCTTCCCGGTGACAGGCTGGGCGCAGGTCGGGGCTTTGAGGGATACTATGTGGCCCCCCCTACCCCGTGGAGACCACCAGGAGGCTGGGAAGGGTGGGGCACGAAAGGCAGGGGGACAAAGAGGGACCTGGGAAAGGGTGAGGTGTGGGTGACTCACAGCAGTTGGGGGTGGACAGGAATAATATCAACACTCAGTATGAGATATAGTATTGATATAATTGTCGTATATTAATAGCTATTAATACTTAATATGATAATAACTGTAATTTAGTGAGCAATTACCGAGGCCCCGGGCACTATCTGGAGGCTTCGCTGCACTGTCCAGATAAGCTCGGCGTCCGCTCGGGCTCGGAGGCTGAGTCCGGGAGGGAGGGCTTCCCGGAGGGAGCACGGGGAGGACTCCGAAAGCCAGGAGGAGGGAGAGTGGCTGAAGGAGCACAGGCTCCGAGCGATGGGGGCGGCAGCCTGGGAAAGGCGCAGCTTCGGCGCTGGGTGGGTGGGAGCTTCCCAGGTGGGCCGTGCAGCCCAGTGCCACCTGCTGCCGCGTGCTGAGAGTCCAGCTCGTGGGGGCAGGGAGGGCCCAGAGAGCCTCTGGGGAAGTCATCAAACACGCACAACTCGGCGCCTCCCCTCTGGGCTGTTCCTCCCGCCCTGTAGCCCCCTGCTCACCTGGGATGCGCCGTGTCTTACTTTGCTCGGCCGCCATGAAGACACCACAGACTGGGGGCTGACGCGGCAGATGCTCATTGTCTCACAGTCCCGGAGGCCGGAGATGCAGAGCATCTTGTTGGCAGGTTGGTTTCTCCTGAGGCCGCTCTCCCTGGCTTGCAGACGCCGCCTGCCCCGAGCCTTCGAGTGGCCTCTTCCCCGTGCGCGCGTGCCCTGGCGTCTCTCCGCCTGTCTTGATCTCCTCTTCTAGGGACGCCAGGCACATTGGCGCAGGGCTCATCCTGAGGGCTTCATTTAACCTTAATCACCTCTTTAAAGACCCTGTACCCAAATACAGTCGCATTTTGAGGTCCTGGGGTTAGAGCTTCAACATAGGAATTTGGGGGGATGCAATTCAGCCCCTAACGAGGCCCAGGACTGAGGGGGGGTGATTGCTGGGCTGGGGGTGGGGGGAACAAGCCTGGATGCGGACAGTCCTCTGCCCCGGCGAGCCCTTCGGGCATGTGCTCCCGGCACTCCTCCCCAGTGGCACGGCCGAGCCCATGCCACCCCCGGACTCAGCCTGCTACCCTCTCTAGCCACTGAGCCACCCCCACAGGTCTCTCGGCCCCTCCCCGTTCAGGCCACAGCACAGGAGAGGGAGTGACTTGCCCAGAGTCACCCAACCAGAGCGAGAGAAACCTTAGACCCCCACAGGGCGAACCAGGTCCCCCACCTGCCACTGCACGTGTGAACGCGCCAGCAGGCAGGGGCAGGCTTGTCCTCAGAAGTACCGCCGGAGCCAGCCCTGCCCTGCCCTGGGCCTCGGTTTCCCCATCTGCTTAATAAGGCATGGGGCTCTCTAGTGACCCCCTTCCACCCTGGGTCCCGTGAAGCAGCAGGGCCAGGCCAGGTGGAGGGGACAGTGGCACCCCAGGGGACAGAGCTATTTTGGTCAGGAAGGGCTCTGCCCACTGAGGAGCCCTGGGCAGTCTGGGGACGTGTCCTCCACCACAGAGGATCAAAGCCCCAGCCTGGGGCCAGCTGCAGTGACGCCCGCCTGGCGGGGGCAGCGGGAGGCGGCGCGGCCCCTCGGAAGGCAGCGCGTCCACTCCCCCGGGGGGCCGAACAGCTCATTTGAGAGCGAGAGGTTTTAACTCAGATCCAAGCCGTTTTGTCTCTGAGCAAACCAGACGCCTGAAATATTCATCAAAAAGGGCTGTGAGTGGTCTGGGGCGCTGTGAGGTTGTTAGTGACAGTGCTTTTGGTGTTTTGTTTTTAATTAGTAGACTTTATGCTTTAGAGCAGTTTTAGATTTACAGAAAATTGAGCAGATAGTACAGAGTGCCACCACTGCCCGCCCCCTTTGCAAGCCTCTTCTATTTCAACATCTTGCACGAGTGTGGGACATTTGTTACGTGTGATGAACCAATACTGGGGCGTCGTCATTAACTGAAGTCTGTAGTTTATAGGAAGGTTCGTTCGCTCTTGGGGTCGTGTGCGTCTGTGGGTTTTGACGTGTGCGTGAAATCGTGCCTCCGCCGTTGCGGTATCACACAGAGTAGCGTCACTGCCCCCACATGCTCTGCCCCGAGCAGCCACTCTATTAGTGACATTTCCAGGTCTCTGGGGTGAGTTCACTCCGCGGACCAGACACGGGGAAGGGATTTGATCTGCCACAGAGGGGAAGCCACAGCTGGAACCTGCCGGGCGGGGCAGCGGGGCCAGCTTCCGGGAGGACTCGAGAATAGCGAGGCCTCTGCGGCCAGACGCACCTGACAGGCAGGGTGGGTGGGTGCGGGCCAGCGAGGGGTGGTGCCCTGCGGTCCCCAGCCAGTGCCCCTCCGGCCCGTTTCTATGAACAGTACTTCTCGCACCAGTGTGTGGGGTTTTCCCAGCCGGTTCTCCAGCTGTCTGGACACCAACTGGGTGTCCAGCGATTCAGTCCAATTCGGCCACTAACTGACCAGAGGCAGCGTCAGACCCCACAGGGGCAGGGCTCAGTCCTGGGGGACTGCCCCCTCCTCGACTGCACGTCCGGAGCCTCCTGTACGTCTGACCAACAGGCTATAAATAGGGGGTTTCCTCAGCACCCCTCAGGTTTGAGAATTTGCTAGAACAGCTCACAGCACTCAGGAAGGTACTTGACTTAGGTTTACCAGTTCAGCTAAACAGAAGCGCTGCACAGGGCAAGGTATGGGGTGGGGCTTGGAGCTTCCAGGCGCCCTTTGAGCACTCGACGTGTTCGCCACGCCTAATGGTATCTTGTAAAGGGTTGGGAAGGCATCTTGGTGTAGGACACGTTTAAAGAGTCAAGAACGTGAGTGGGAATTTTTGAGGCAGATAGAGGGTGGGAGGGCACATCCAGGAGAGGGAATGCCATCTGCAAAGGCTCAGAGGCATGGACAAGCGGGGCTTGAAGGACGGGAGTGCTCGGCTGGGAGGCCCAGGAATGGTGCCACCACTTGTTGGGGGCAGGTCAGGGTCAATGTGTTGAAGAGTTAGGAATTCATCCTCCAGGCAGTGGGGAGCCATGGAGGACTCTGGAGCAGGGGACTAGCACCACCCTTCTTGGGCGTCTGTATTTAGAGTAGGAACAAGCATGTGTTTTCTCGCGAAACCATAGAGTTGCCTGTGGCTTTATGCCCTTTGGGGAAATGGGTACAAATGACCCGCCTGGTGCCTGGACACAGGAGCACCGACTCCGTGACGGCTGAGCGGATGTCTGGTGCGCGGGCAGGGGCCAGGCTGGGCGGAGGCTTCGCTTCGCTGGCCGGCCTGAGCAGCCGGCACCCACCCTTCCCTTCTCCTCTCCCCGCTGCAGGAGAATCCCTACCTGTGCAGCAACGAGTGCGACGCCTCCAACCCGGACCTGGCCCACCCGCCCCGGCTCATGTTTGACAAGGAGGACGAGGGACTGGCCACCTACTGGCAGAGCATCACGTGGAGCCGCTACCCAAGCCCGCTGGAAGCCAACATCACCCTGTCGTGGAACAAGAGCGTGGAGCTGACGGACGACGTGGTCATGACCTTCGAGTATGGCCGGCCCACGGTCATGGTCCTCGAGAAGTCCCTGGACAACGGGCGCACGTGGCAGCCCTACCAGTTCTACGCCGAGGACTGCATGGAGGCCTTCGGCATGTCTGCCCGCCGGGCCCGCGACATGTCATCCTCCAGCGCCCACCGGGTGCTCTGCACGGAGGAGTACTCGCGCTGGGCAGGCTCCAAGAAGGAGAAGCACGTGCGCTTCGAGGTGCGGGACCGCTTCGCCATCTTCGCCGGCCCGGATCTGCGCAACATGGACAACCTGTACACGCGGCTGGAGAGCGCCAAGGGCCTCAAGGAGTTCTTCACCCTCACCGACCTGCGCATGCGGCTGCTGCGCCCGGCCCTGGGCGGCACCTACGTGCAGCGGGAGAACCTCTACAAGTACTTCTACGCCATTTCCAACATCGAGGTCATTGGCAGGTAAGGCCTGGTGCGGGCCCTGGGGATGTCACCTGGTACCTGGCGTGTTACCTAGTCGCTGGGACGTCACGTGGTACCTGTCTGGGACGGTACCCGCTTCCTGGGACGTCACCTGGTGTTCCATCTAAGGGACGGTCACGATGGCTGGGGCTGCACAGACAAGATGCCTGGGCTTTTCCACGGGGGGAGGTGCACGTGTGGATGACAAACGTCCTCCGTAGGGCCCGGCGGGTCTGGATGGCAGGAGCGGAGCCCGCCAGTGCGGGCAGGGCTGGGATAGCGCCTGGCGCCCGTGTGCGGGAGCCGCTGGAGCTGTTCACTGACTCAGTGGGTGTCAGGGCCCTCAGGACCACCTCAGCTCAGTGATTGACCGGAAACACTCACAGAACTCGGCGAAGCCGTAGCGCTCGCAGTTACGGTTTGTTACGATGGAAGGACGCAGATTAAAGTCAGCAGCAGGAGAAGGTGCCCCGGGCAGGCCCAGGAGAACCAGGTGCAGCTCTGGCTGTCCTCTCCCGGCAGGGCCACGCAGGCTGCATTTAGTTCTCCAGCATCAGTGTCGGACGGCACACGGGGAGAATCAGCGGCCGGGGCACTTGCCCGAGGCTTGGCGTCCGGGTTTTTACCGGGAGTTGACGGCTGGGCGTGGTGGGCCACCATGGCTGGCCTCGTCTCCGTCTCCAGAGGCTGAGCTGATGCTGCGTGGCCAAGGCCCCACCACAAGTCACATCGTTAGCGTGGACTCTGGTGTGGCCCAAGACCCCCAGGCAAACAGGGACACTTATCAGATGGGACAGTCGCAGGGCTTGTGGGGTTAGAGGTCACCTGCCAGGAGCTGGGCTGGGTCAGACCTTCCTTTGGAGCGTGCAGGGTGCGGACGACCCAGACTTCCGAGGTAACCCGCAGTTCTGGAGAAGGACGAGGTTAGAAGACATGTCAGGGGAGGGAAAGGAGAGTGTCAGAGGAGGTGAAAGCAGCCCTAATTCCCAGGAGCTGTGCAGACTGTGGACGGGTAAGTGGTTCCACGCGCCATTTGTCTGTTTGGCAGATAAGGTGCTGGTCTGTGGGGCGAGGACGTCACCCCCGAACCCTCCGTGGCAGGGGGTGGTGACGGTCATGCCTCTCTCGCTGCATCGGGCTGAGGGTCGAATGAGTAAAGGTGACAAAGCCCTCAGAACAGTGCCCAGCACATAGTATGTGCAAAAAAAGAAGTTGAATAAAATAAAAACCGGACAAAACAATGGAGTGAGAGGGCTGGGGCAGGCTGAGGGAGGACGGCATTGAGAGCGAGGTGTGGGGCATGATCGAGGCCAGGAGCACAACTGAGGCAGACGCGGGCAGGGGCTGCACGGGGACCCACTGGGCGATGCTCTGTGGGCGTGTCCACTGCAGGCTCTAAGCGCTGCCCGAGTGTGTCATTCCTGACGCGTGGAAAAAGCAATTTGCTGCGTGGCATGTGTAGCATCATCCTGTTTTGGTGCAGTGTATGATACGCCTGTGCTTACGATTTCTGTATCTTAAAGAGACGTTGGAGAGAAGTTTGGGCAGGCACAGGAGAAATGTCACGGGCGCCTGCCGAGCGGGGTTGGGAGGGGCCCGTGTGGTGCTTTTGCTTTCAGCTTATGTTTGCGTTTTATTTTACTTTGACAACGTGCAAGGCAAGGGGTTTGCGAAGTGGAAGTCAGGTTCAAGGCTGGCAGACAGGCGTGAAGCAGGTGCATGCACAGGGGCCTGTGGTCCTGACACCATGGTCGCCGGCCCTCCCCTAATTGAGACAGGATGTTTAAAATCAGGAATGCTCTGGAAAGCACCCCCTATGTGGGCACTGCTACGGAAGCTGAGAGTCCAGGCTTTTGTCCTCTGTTTGTCTCTGTGACCTCCGCCCTCGGGAGATAGTTGTCTGCTTGGTACAAGACACCCCTGAGCCCCACAGTCCCACTGGGCTTAGCAGCTCGGGGCTGGGAACCAGGTCCCCAGGACTTCCGCTGATGGCGGCCTGTTTTCTGACCTGCACTGGCTGTGGCAGGGGGACCCTCATGGTCAGGAGTCTGGTCAAGAGCCACCTTAGGCTTCATTAGGCCACCAGTGTGGGGTCCTGATGTCTGGGCTGGCTGCAGGGGGAGGCTGGGATGGTGATAGCCAGGGCCTTATGGTGCCCCTTCAGCCTCAGCAAGGGGACCTGGCATTCAAGTCCTACCCCTCTGGACCCCTCTCCGGGCCTCAGTTTCTCATCTGTGACAAGAGGACTAGGACTGCCTGGAGCCCATGTCTCGCTGGCAAAGTGGCAGGGCGATCCCTGCGTGGTGGCTCACGGCTCCGGTTGGCACCCAGCCTGTGTGCGTGGTGGGGCTTAGCCGTAGCGGTGGCAATCAATTCACAGATGGAGTAAGTACTCTTCAGGCGGCTGGTTGGCAAGAAAGTGGCAGCTTGGCTTATCGATTAATTAGGTCTGGTTAGATGGTTCAGCGGAGGGCTGTGACTTCCTCCTCTTTCCCTTCTTAAATTCCCCTTGGGAAAGCCCAGCTGTGCCAAGAAGCCAGAGAGGCCCAGAGAGGCAGGACCAGATGGCAAAGGGGGATGTGGGACCCAAACAGACGATGCCCCAAAAGTCCCTGAGTGGTTGCCTGGGGACCCCGGGGATTCTGGAATTTCACAATGAACCTGTTCTGCGGGTTCCCTCAGAACTTCACGATCCTGATGTTCCCGGGCCTCTCGCTGTGGCTGCCAGCGATAATCGCAAATATCTGTTGGCTATTTGCTACAGGCCCCTTTGCTACTGAGCGCTGTATGAAGGGCTTCGTGTGCGATTTCTTGTTTAATCAATAGCCATCTGATTCCCCCGTGGTTATGGAAGGTCTGAGCTGCCATGCGCCGAGCATGAGCCAGCCAGACCTGATCCCCGCCTCGGAGCTTCCCTGCAGGGACGGGGCTCCCCGCAGCCTGTGTCCTCAGATGAGGGGGCGGAGGCTTGTGAGGTCCAGAGCGTAAGGAGATCACACAGCTCTGCTAAATGCCACACAGCCAAGATCCAGCCCCGAGCGCGTCCAAGCTCAAGTCCATCTCAACCGCTGAGCTGTGTGCGAGGCGCTCGCTGGCCCCACGGCTTCCTCGTCCCTGGTCCCAGCTCTGACTAGGGCCTTCTCGAGCTCAGGTGGCCTGTACTACGGGCCTCCCACCAGCCTCCGCTCCCAAAGCCAAGGTTCTTTGATTCAGTGGCTGTTCCCTCTTTTATCCCTCAATCAGCTATTCACAGCTACAAGGCCCCCCACGGGGGAGGCAGGAGTGGGAGATAGAGGCGCCTGGCTGGGGCGGGGCCAGAGCAGCTGGGGAGAGCCCAGGGCCCTGCGGAATGAGGGTTTGGTACAAATCAGGGCTAAGAGGAGGCAGCAGACTGAGCTGCAGCCCCACGGGGGTGGCAGGGGTGGCCAGGCGCTGGTGGCTGGTGGCGCAGAGAGAAACACGGTCACCTGCACCCCCCGGGCGGCCACTCCTGCCTCCCGTGGGCCCTGCCCCACGTGCCGGTTCCTGGAAGGCAGGAGGGGGGCGGGAGCTATTTTCTCCTTCCACGCGTGGGGGAACTCAGGTGAAGAGCTGGAGAGCGGCTGGCTTTAAACTGTGCAGGAAATCTGGGGCGAAATCTGGACTGGGGAGGAATGAGATCATCGCTTTACGGGGCTTGGAGCGGGGCCAGAGCCCCCACCTCACCCCTAACACAAGGGGCCAGACCTGACCCAGCATCTTCCAGGAGAGCTCTTAAGGACGAGAGTCCCAACCCTGCCACCAGAGCTTTGGGCCCGGGGGCTTTGGGGTGAGATCCAGAAAGCCGTCTCTGCCAAGCTCGCCAAGTGAGCTGGAGGTGGAGACGGCCAGGTGGATTGCAGTTTTTTCATCATCCGGGTGTTGCACTCCCTGGTTAGACGGCGGGAGAGGTAAATCCCAGGTGTGGGGACCAGGCTGCCTGGATGTGAGGCCATCGCTGCACCCACCCCAGGTGCTGGAGCTTGCGAGCTTTTCGGGTTAGTGGGGATTGCAAACCCAAATGTCCACAGGGACTGGGAAGACAGCGTACGTGGGTAACACAGACCAGTGGAAGCAATAGGGAAGGGTGTGGTCTGTGGAGAAATGGGGAGGGCAGGCCCCTCTCAGGACAGCGGGCTGCAGATCGCCAGATCCGATGCTGCAAGGCAGGTACACGGCACATACCTATGTGAAATCTCTTGATCTTTAAAATATCGACACCTTTGAAAAGTCTGAATAGTTAAAAAAAAAATGCCCCTGTAGCCCAGACACCTCACGAGCTGCCAGTGTACCCTCTCGGCTCTGAGACTGTCAGTGTCTGCTTGTGGCTGTGATACAGCCGCGTTCAGCAGGCCCATGGCAGGGCTGTCATGCCAGGAGCTGGGTGTGGGCAAACTCCAGCAAAACGGCCTGGCCAGCCCTCCCCACTCGGGTCTGGGAGTCGGAGGGAAGAGGGGAGTCATCCTATCCTCAGCCCCAGGCCATGCCTGGGGGCAAATTCTTCTGCCCAGAAAACTCTTGGAAGCTCCAGGAAAACAGCCCAGCTGGTTCTTTGCCAGCTGGGGGTAGGAAAGGAGGAGTGAGCTTCCTGTTCCTGGAGGCATTCAAGCTGAGTGGGGTGGTGTTTGTGGGAGATGATGGAGAGAGGTCCTGTGTACCAGATTAAAGTCTTGTGCACCTGTTTTGTTCAGCAATAATAAACGTGGATTTAGTGAAGAGGGACAGTAGGTACCGTTTATTCACAACGAGCCAAGTGTGTGTCCTCACTCCCTTTCTGCCTGGGAGAAGACCCGCCAGATCCCAGAGACGCCTGGGTCTCCTAGACTCAGCTGGGGTCCCTGGGCCGCGCCCGGCTGGTTTTCTCCTCCCTGACCCCTTTCTTGCCGTCTCATCTTCTTGCACAGCATCCTGTCCTTATCGATGACGATGACGGTGGCGATGGCGGGGTAACTGGAGAGGGACAAGAATAGCAGCAGCAGAGG